TGTTGTATATCATAAGTGTCGTAATCTTGTTTATTATCAAACTTCGTTTTCCTTCGAACACTTCGATTGGTAATAGTAGGTTTCTTTCTGGATATTCCTGGCACCTCAAGTTGGTCCATATTCCTTTGTTTTCTAATACCATTAAGTACAAGAGATATACTCGTCATAGAAATTCTAAATCCCCTTTATGAGCACATGTTCATTGTACATTATACATATTGATTATCTGTGCTGTGCCCACCACTGGTATCGTAACACGATTTTTAGCGTTATAAGCTTTCAGACTTACTGCTGTGTCACTGGAGGTAGGCGCGTCGGAAAGGACTGTTATATACTGTTACAAAAAAGCAATTACTCTTCGGTGGCATCATACTTCCTACATTACGCCAAACAATGTCAAAATGTGGTTCTAACAAATGGCATGCCATCACAACTTTATATCGGCTATTGATGTTACTTAACTTGCTGATCTGTATAATCAAACAATTGCCTTAATACAATGTATTTAATCCTGTACATTGTGAAATAATATTAATGCTCAAAAATTGTCACGCAACTTACGACTAATATTAATTAATTCTTAAATCATTATTCAAGAAACTTTACTCGCTATATTTTTTATGATTGGTATATGAACTTTAATAACATTTTAGTGTATTCTTTACCTGTTAACAACCATTTTTAAGTTGAATTGTGATAAAATATTTACATATAAAGTAAAATAGAAATATAACAATAAATTTCAAAATTGTTTGCTCTTCACTTTATAATAATATTAGCTTATTTTCTGTATGCATCGTGTACGTCCTCATCAAAAACTTTGCATGTTCCACTCATTTTCCCATTATTTTGATTCCACTTTGTATTTCATTTGTATTTAGTAATCCATTCATTCCTCTTACGACCGTATACTCTGCATAGAACAATTGGAAGGTAATAACAATATATTAAATCTTAGCTTTCACTAGGCAAAACTACTGTTATAGAATAAAATCAATTACCCCCTTCAAATTTTGTGCTAATCAGGCAACTGATTATTGGCTATTTCAGCTTACACTCGAAAATTAACACTTGGTAGAGTCGACTTTACATATTTTCATTTTATAACAATTTCACTTCAATATTAACAAAAAGATAAAAGATGAATGCTTAAGATCAAAGTTTACATAAAGTCCTGAGGCACCATCGACCATTCCTCTGAAAGAGCTGTTTTTAGGAACTTATTTAGTATCTAGAGTCACCTGACACGGTGAAATGTGTCTCTCAAGAGCAAACCCAATACTTGTGTCAAAATGGGATTGCTTCGATAAAAATCAAGTCAAATCTAGAGTGAACTTCAAAATGGTGACATATACTTGAGACAAGAAATAAGGAAACAGTAGAACGAACAACAAGAATAAAGAGACGGGAATTTTAGAGAAGAATTAAAAGAAAGAGATGTAAGGTTTATAAAGCAATTGAAAATATAAAAACATAATTAAAAACAAGATCAAAGAAGCTATTGGAGATTTGCAGACGGATCATATCAGAGCGCGACCATACATTCGCGATTTCTGTAGACATTCCCTGGATCAGGAATATTTTCCCGAGGAAAAAATTTTCCCAAAAGTGTCCCCAGCTCTAAATCATCGTTCATGAAATCCCGTGACATTTAAATTCTTATGACATGAAGTATGCAGCGGAAATATATTAGAAATAGATATTCATCCAATTTTTATTATTATTAGCTTAGGCAAGCATCCTCATGTAATGACACTTCTGTGGTTGCCATAACTATTTCCTATTCTGTTTTAGAACGTAATGACACACTTTTAAAAGAATTCCGTCCTCAAACAACATTAACAAGGAAATATACAATAGAACACATTTGGTCTACAACTGTTACCACAAATGTTGTACCATTTTTTTTACTGCAGGATCTTCTTGGATTACTTCAAGTTCATCACTACCTCATCAAACTACAGGATTTAACAAGATGGTTTAACAAAATCACCCGATCAACAAACCAACAGATTATGAAAGAAAAATACCGTGGGAGGTATATCAGAGTTAATTTGAAATATAGTGAATAGACGGTGTAGTGAACAAGAAACAGTTCATCTTCCTGCTCATTTAAAAGGGGGCAGCTTTTACTTAGTAGTCATTCTCCTACCTGAGAGCTGTAATAACTTCCAAGCATTGGTGACTTGCTTTCTAACGCATAATTCAGGATCAGAATAAGGAGTGAAGATAACACCTTAGCAGAATGTGTGGAAGATTTAAAAAGCTTGCCTACATATCCACGAGAAATCATCTATTCATTAAAACGCGACCAATTCGTTGATGCTATAATGGCTGAGGATATGCAAATTAGAGAGAAGTAATATATATATATATATATTTAAAGGAACTTCTTCACTTGGTGATGGAACGCCTGCCTGAGAGGGTACTGTAGTAACATAGCATCCAGATTTAAAATATTAACACTGTATTATTCTTTGCTGATCGAGTTTGATGCTGTCTGAATGATACAGTCGACCAATTCTGTGCGAGAACAAAGGTCACTGGGCGACGCTGTCGACTTTACAAAGAAAGCGAATTTACCCGTTGAATTCAGACACACTTTTTTGATTCAATTCTTCATAACTAATTCGACAGAGGTTCATCTTGTAGGACAGAAATCTGACGAGCTCTTTAACGATCCAGTAGAGACAATCGTCCACTTATGTACTTGCACTGTTTTTTGTTATTGTTGTGTCTAAATTAAGATTGTTTTAATTGCGTGGAAAACTTAAAACTCGGTGAAGTTGTCAACTCCAGAACACTCCATTCATTTATTGATCGAATCTGCTGTTATTTGCGGGTTTACCTATCTGATAATTTTAAGGAAACGGGTTTTGGTTGAAAATGCCACAACAATACCAGGCTAACCTTTATATTTTAATTTACTTTATTTTTATGTGGTTAAAGCCGAATTTTAATTTACTTTATTTTTATGTGGTTAAAGCCCAATACAGTGTTTTTGTTTTAGCCTTTAAATTTTCTTTTCAGATTCCAACTTGAATACTGGACGGTGAATGTTTTTCGACGCTCGCCCATTACAAGTGAATTTTTCTTGGGGCATTCCAATTTTCCCCACACAAGAGAAATTTGGCACTGAATCTGCTGACCCCCACCGCCTACAACTGAACAACACACATAACATCAATACAGCTGTCTTCATCGATAACATGGCCTTCTCTGCTGAAATAGACATTTAATAGCTATATCACAAATTAATTTTGACCATTCAGGATATATATATACACACACACAAATATACATATATGTAATGAAATTCATTTGATGAATCTGTGCTATGATTCATATAAATTCAAATAATTATTTTTTGGTTTTTATTTTAATTAAAAGATCTATATATATTACACCGACAGATGACGACCTTGCTGTCACAGAATTTATCTAATATTGGTAATGTTTATGACTAATTCTAGGATGTACCGGTAGTTTGATTTTTATTTAACTTATTGTTTTAAATTACTGCAATAATACACCTCAATAACAGTTTTGAAAGTAATACTAAAATTATATCTGGAAAAGAAGGAAATAATTCAAGTTTATATCAAAAATAAATTGGTAAGACCTTCATTAAGTTGTTATTAATTTTACATTAATTAATTTAAAATTATCACTAATTCAGTAATTGATAACAGTGGGTGGGTGATAACTGATATTGTGATAAATATATAATTATTAATGCTAACTTAGTTGATAGTAGTATCACGGTTACAGTAAAAAAGTCTGTACAAATACAAGTTCTAAAACCAAAGTATTAAAACTAAGTCGTAATAGCGTAGGCCAAAGATTAGTAGTTCGATATATTAGTGATACCATACTAATTTGTGATTAGCGTAATAATTTAAACATTACTGTGTGTGATTACACTTTACTGGCCTATTTTGTGACAGTTAATGTTGGAATTATTGATACTACCAATGGTACTTGATAGTGATAAATTAATTCGAAATTGAAGTCAAAAATATTCTGTTCTTTGTGTCCACGAAATATAATCACTAATTGTAAGTTGTAACTTTGATTAAGTTGCTTTTGTCACGTTCGTAATCCAACTTCCAAGTTACAAGTTGGATTACGAACGTGATAAAAGCAGCTTAATAAAGTTAATTTGGATTTTTGAACATGTCTTGCTAATCGAAGTTAAATATTATTAATATTAGTCAAAAATGGGATAGGCAGGATTAATCATCAAATTCTGAATCTAACTGAAGTAAAAACTAACAGAAATAATATACTCAAGATTAATGTTATATTTTGTGATTTATGGTTTTCACTGCTACTGTTGTTTATGTATATTTTTTATTATGAATACTTAAACAAGTCTTGTTTTAAAAACTGTCATTGTAATTTAATTATAAATTTATAGATAATTGTTGTTGACCTTTAGTTTAATATAACAGTTAAGACTCAATAAGAGTTAGACAGAGTGCGAGCCCATAATTATTTAGCATGTATCCATTCATGAGTGTGAGAATGCATGGCATTTTCACTTTCTCAGGACTGAGTCTGATATACCTCCAACAGTATTTCCCCATCAAAATCTGTTAGTTTCTCAGCTGGATGATGATGTTTAAATGGCCAGCTAAATTCTGAAATTAGATTAAATATTGATATAACTGGAATAGTTCAGGAAGTTCCTGCAGTCATAGATGTCACAGTAACAGGGGAAGAACAAATGGATTTTCCTATTCCATATTTCATACTTAAAGGGGTTTGAAGATGAAATTCTTAGGCAGGTGTATAGAGAGAGATGTGGCTGGTTTGGTCCTAGCATTTACAAATGTTTAATTTTGCTACAGATGTTCTTTTTTACCTTACTGATTTTGCAGTTATGATTTTTTTGTATTTCATAGATGTCTTTTTGTACTACCTCAGTTTTGCTGTTATAATCCTTCTTTACTTTGCCAACAGCTTCTTTGATATTGTCATCAATTAAATTTATTTGTTCTCCCATGATTAACTTCTTGATCTTTTAGTTTCTGTTTCTTTCTTCTTAGTCTTATTTACATTTTTTGTCCCTTTATTTTCCATCATTTTAATATTCTGTAAATTTCTTGGTCTTCATCTTCTAATTTTCTGCCTCTTTCTTCTTGGCCTTCTTTTAATTTTTCTTTCCAGTGTTTCATTATCTTTGGCAAATGTTCGGTCTCACTTTATGCACATGTGATCATCTCAAAGATTGTATTATATTTTCCCGGAAATAATGCCACTTCTAATACCAGTGTTTTAATGGTTTCTTTCTTTGAGTTTTGGTAAAAATAATTCAAAAGTCCAGTCACTGTATCTATTACAAATTATTTATGTCTTTGACCATAATGTAGAAGTTCTACAGACTAAATTTATGCCTAACTTCACAAATAACAATACAGCAAAAATTTTGAAAATAATAATACACCTAATTTGCATATAAAACTTGCTCATTAAATTCTTTTCATATCTACAATACAGCTTACAACGGGCTGACTAAAACATTCCATCAACCAGAACATATTCACTTCTTAACTATTCAACTGACTGACTTAATTCTCTTTAACTGACTCAATGACTAGCTCTCTACCCTACTCAATAAAACCATTTATTAACTCACTAATCTCATTAATGGACTAATCTTCTTATGAGATGTCACAGAACTGTTGCTGAGAGCTCATATCTCGTTTCAGTATGAGATTCCATGATATATATATATATATCATGTTCTTCTTTAAATGTCCTTAAGATTCAAAATGTCACATGCATGCTATATCAGATCTGGACATTTAGGAAACTTCTAGAGGTCATACATGATCATTAGATCATGCCAAAAACTCACAATAGCAAAAACATATCAAACAATTAAGCTACAACATTATATAAATGTGGCAATAAAAGAATTAACAAGCAGTTATTTCATTGAGTTCATCAAATATGCACAATATGTATAATGTACATGCATGTATTGACATACATGTGTATATATATATATATATATATGTGTGTGTGTGTGTGTATGTATAGTATTTTGTTTGCTGAAATGGATAAAATCTGTAAAAATATAATGAGAAAGCAAAAAAATCCAACACCACATTAGAAAATGCAAGCAGATTAAACTGACATAAAACCTACTTTATACTTGCTTATGCAGTGTCATGTTTTTTACTTTTAGCTTATCTAAAACATTTTCTGTTGAATTGATTATGTTGTATTTTACTAATTTTAACCAATTTTTATTGTAAATTACCTCCCCTTGTACTTTGTTTTTGTACATTGCTAGAAAATACTATTGAAATAACTATTGAAGACTTGCATGCAGATAACAGATTACAAAGACATTGAACGTACATTAAGTACATTTATGTCAATGTATTTATTTGTTTTTCAGGTGCTTTGACATAATGTCTGTTAATAACAAAGAGAAAGATGTCCAGTCTAGACCCACAGATGAAGACAAAGTGAGTCAATGTTTTATACATTTTAGTAGTATAGAGATTAGATATTGTATGGTTTTAATTAACAGTTAGTTATGATAAGTTTCTCATAATAGCTACACAAGCAAAAGTACCCATCACCAGTGACTGGAAAAGTTTAAGTTAAGCTATCATTTTAAATTATTTCATGGATTTTAAAAAGGTTAATTATGTTGCACTCTTGGTTTCATTCAGAGCCAAAGCCCTGATCTACCTATACCATCCATCATGAAGAAAAGTAATTGTTGAGTATTTCAGACGTGCTAAGTGTCACTCAACAATAACATATGGTAAATCTACATTTTTATTCCATAAGTTATATCACATTTTGAAATGTGAATGATAGTGTGATTAATTATTAACAATTCAGTATTGAATATCCTGCTTGTGAAATATAGTTTGGCATTAACATTATTCATGCCTGTTCTCCCATCACTTCAAAAGTAAATGTTGATCTTACCAGCGTGTGCAGATTTTCAAAGTCAGTGCAAGAAGTGGCTGCCATAAAGGGAAGATAGATGAACACACGGACAGACACCACAGTTTGCGATACATATATAAGATAAAATATTCCCAATATCTGATTAGAGCTGTTTTCTTGGATTATTCCAAACTATTTATCACAAAGCTTTGCAAATTAATTACTTCTAGTCTTAACTTTCTTTAATTGTTTCTGCTTGTTAAGTGTCATGCTTTAATTAGTATCAAAACAGAAATATATATTATTCTATCATAAGCCACAGAAATTATTTTTCTAACAAGACCTGAATTACATCATACATGTACTTATGATCAAAATGTGTTTGTTTTTTTGTATTAAAATTGTTTATTACAGTAAATTCACTAAATAATCAGTTTTGCATTTCACAAAACAAATTCACTCTGTGGTGTATGTGCAAATTTTCTGCTATTGGTTTGGTGAATTTCTATGTAAATCATTCGGTAATTAATTTCTTATTCATATTTAGTTAAGGACTTAAGAGATGTAAAGATTTATAAATTTCTTTTAAAACCATATTATTTCTAACAAATTCTTTGTATGTATGTTAGCATTTAAAACAAAAATTAATTAAAGTAACAAACAGTGATTTTCTTTTTATTTAAAGATGAATAGCATGACCACACAACTATAGAAATTGTATTTCTGATAGTTTAAATGAAAATTCTTTTTTCAGTTTTGATCAATGATGAAGATAAATACTTTGAAATTTACTACCATATGATTTTATTGCATTACTGGGTTTACTACAACACTTTTAAAAATGGTTCATTCATTAAACAATGATATAAGTTTACAGTATTGACACACACACACGTAAAAAGTAAAAGTTTATTCATCTGGCATTATCACCACTGGTAAGTTCTTATAACCAGAAATTTCAATATATCCAAATACAAATGCTTCATTTATTACAGTCCTCTCCTTTCTTCCATCTAGCCACTATTATATCCAATTTACTGTAGAGATAAATTTTTACAAGCCCTTTTATGCAGCACCTTGTCAAATGCTTTTTGAAAAATCCAGATACACCAAATCTACACCCTTACACTCATTTACATAAGCAGTAACCTTTTCAAAGAATTTCAAAAGATTTGTAAGACAAGATATTCTCTTAGTGAAACCATGTTGACCAACCAGTAAAATTCTAAACTATGTTAAATGGCTTTGCAAAGTATCTTTTAACAGACTTTTCAAAACTTTTCCTGCAACTGGTGTAAGACTAATGGGCCTATAATTACTGGGGCAATTTTTATTACCTCCCTTGAAAAGAGAAGTGACATTAGTTAACCTCCAATCCTTTGGCACCTGTCCACTATTCAAGGACTTACAAATAATAGTAGCAAGTGGCTCACATATCCAATCCTTAATCCTCTTTAAAACCCTTGGAGAAATATTATCTGGCCCAGGAGCCTTATTGTTCTTTAAACTTCCCAGTTTTTTTTAACAAGGTCAGAATTAATGTAGTCATATTGTCCAATTTTGTTTCCATCTGTCAACTGTTCAAGATATGAAATACTGCTCAAATCTTCAATAATAAAAACTGAAGAAAAAACAGAATTTAAGTATCCAGCCATCTCATAATCATCAGATACAAACCTTCCTTTAACATTCCTCAACGGTCCAACTCCAATCCAAACGTTTTGTTTACGTTTAATGTATTTAAAAAAATCCTTACTGTTATATTTTACATTTTCAGCCAATCTTCTCTCATCCTTTTTGATGTCTTAATTTCCTGTTTCACCAACTTTCTTGATCTTCTATAATCTTCTAAATATCCCATCATACCAGTCAATATACATTTTTTAAATTTATAATACTTTTTCTTTAATTTTATCTCTTATATTCTTTGTGAGCCAACCTGGTTTTTTACTTGCAGCCACCCTTTTCTTTCTGGGAGAAATAAGTTTACCTTGAATATTTAAAAATGTATCTTCAAAAATTTTGCACATTTGATCAGTGTCTCCAAATAACTCAGCTGCTCAATTCACAACAGATTATTCTTGTCACATCCCTTAAAAGTTTGCTTTTTTTAAAATTTGTAACCAAAATATCATAATTCCTGATCTGCATGTACAGCAAAACATCAAACCTAATAGAGCAATGCCACTTGCACCCACAAGTTTTTTTAAAATTTCCACCCTATCAATCATTTCTGTGTTTGAAGTTAACAATAAATCTAAAATAGCATTGTTTCTAGTAGATTCCTTGACCAGTTGGTGAAGAAAGCCATCTTGTTTAGTTTCCAAAAATCTTTCTCTCAGATGGTTTGACTCTAGTATTTCCCAATCTATATGACTGAAATTAAAATCACCCATAATTATGACTTCATTAAAAGCTGAAATCTTAATCTCATTGTAAAGTTTCTCACTAATTTTATCAGTATCATCTGGTGGTCTATAACAAATTGCCACTAAGAGCCTTTTCCATTTGTATCCACTAATAAAAACCCAAATGGATTCAATCTCCTTGCTATTATCTTTGATGTCCCCAACTTCAATGGGATGAAACTCAGTTTACATATAAAGCCACTCCTCCCCTCTCTTTAGTACTCTATCCCTATTAAATAACCTGTAACCCTGTATTTCAAAGAAATTTCTTTTACCAAAATCATCTATGTTTAACCATGTTTCAGTTATTCCCATTATATAAAAATCCTCCTTTCCTACCAGTGCTCTAAAGTCATCTGTTTTATTTCTTATATTTCTAGCATCAGGATAGTAATAGTTAAGCGTACTCTTATAACTACTTCTCTGCTCATTTCCTATGCTAAACATTTCTCTACCTCTTATTCTTTTTGCATTTAGTTTATCTTGGCTCTCACCACTTTCTAGTCTTAATTTAAAACTTCCCTTACAGCTGAGTTAATAGCCCTTGCAAACAACCTGCTCCATTCTATTTAAATGTAAACCATCCATTCAAAAAGCTTCCTTCTTCCAATTAATATGAATAAAAGTATAAGAAACTAATATTTTCAAAAACAAAAAAATTGCTTTATTATTGATTAAACCAGATTCTAGAAATATCATTTTGCAGTTTAGTAGGTTTGAATAGTAACAATGTTAAAAAACTGTGTTCCCAAAAGTTTTTTATAATTCCAAGGTAAAATAATATAAACAAGCTAAACTGTAGCCAATGTTTGCATTTTGTTTAATGTTATCATACTTATTAAATAAAATTAATTTAAGTAAGATACTTTATTACATCTTCTTACTATAATGGACGTAGTGTGTATATATATATATATATATATATATGTATGTGACCAAAATAATAAATACAATGTGGTGCCATTTATTGAATAACACCACAAACAAAAATCCATACAAATTTTCACACTTTGGGTATTCAAGATTCAGACAATTAGAAAAATAACTATGGTATGTGCAACAACCATTTCTTTGTCACAAAACACAATTTTGAATAAAAGTACTGTCTTCACAACAAGAACATGAACACATCTTTCACTAGGACTGTATGTGAGGGTTTGATTATATCTTTACTGATGTAATTTGTAAATATAGTACTAAAAATGGTGTTTATAAAAATAACTGTTATTTTTTTCAATAAACGGTATCATTTTTAATACGTAAAAACATCACAGTTTATATCAGCACAATCCAAACAATTTCCCTGGGCAGTACTTCCCAGGAAAATCCTTTTTCAGAAAATGTTCATTTTTTTAAAATATTATTGAATGAGGTATGAATACTACGATTAGTAATTACTAATAGAAACAGCTGCTTGTAAGGTGGTGTTTCTGCTAGTATAGCTAATTTTTGGTAGTTTTGAAACAGCTGAGATCAAATATCTTCATAAAGAACAAAGCTTATTGTTTGTTGCTTAGATCTTCATTTCACCCTTTTACCTAAAACCAGTTGTGTAGTCAAAATTGAAAAAAACTAATATTATTGTATATCTATTTTTGAGGCATCAGTTATACCTAAATTGTTGTAGACTTTATAAAAACGTATTTTTTAAAATTCAAGAAATCTGATACTGTCAATACAAGTTTATTTTCCTTTTTTTTCCAGATTCTTTTGCAGCCATTTAATTATATATTACAAGTACCAGGAAAACAGATTAGGAGCAAACTAACAAAGGTAGCAATTCTGTTTATTCATTTACCCATATTTGTAGGGTGGAGGTCAAAATGTACATGTAGCAACTTTTTTCCACAGTTACATTCAAAATTTAAACAACTTTATTATCAATGTATGTCAGTAAACTTGGCATCAAAGTATACTTTATAAATCAGATTTTAATATTATATAAGTTTTAATTTCTTTATTTCAAAAGGAAATATTTAAATAAATTCTCAATCTTCACTTCAATTTTAGTATTATATAAGTTTTAATTTCTTAATTTCAAAAGGAAATATGTAAATAAGTTTTCAGTCTTCACTTCCTTGTATCAAATGATACTTCTTTGCTCCAAATTACCCATTTTTGATTTTTTTTCTACCCTTATGTAATCTTCTGAGTTTGGCACAAATTACGTGCTTATACTTTAGATATTGCTATAGTAAACTTATAGCCTCCAATCTTCTTTCAATACTAAGATATATACAAAAAAGTCAAACTCATGCCACATTCTCCAAGCACATCCTGTCTTTCAAAAAATGTCTAATAGAAAAAAAAATTAATTTACTGAATTTTCTATGAACATAGAACTTTCTAACAATAGGTTTTGAGTCATTTGGTCTCAGTTTCATTATTTTCTATTGGACTGATTGGCTTGACTAGCTGATGTAATTTATCTAACCCATTTTTAGCTCAGTTAGAAAGCCAGTTAAATTATAATAGTTTTATGGCATTATATATTTTGTGCTGATAATATTTTAAGTTCTAAATTCTATGTTTGAAATAATTAAAATTATCTTATGTACTACTACAGTTGTTACAAGAATATGGTTACATTTTGTTGGAAGACCAAGAGCAAAGAAAGCTAGAGCCCAGACATAAGCACAATATTGTTGTTTATTGTTATCAAAGGTACTAAAATGTAAAAGTTAGAAACTTATTAGGTTAGATTGGAAACTTATGAAAAAAAATTAAATTAAGCACATCTCAAAGTTTTATTATTTAATTTGAACAAGCATGTTGGTAACTCTATCATTTGTTTACACAAAGCTGTCCAGCTGTGATAAATGACTAATGCTGTAATAAATAGCTGTCTTCATACACTGATAGGATTTAAGTGCATCTGTAAAGCAGTATAAAAAAAGGAACAAAATAATTTTAGTTCATATGAAACTTAGATACACCATCATTTCTCTGAATATCTCTACAAGTCTAAAGTAACATACATGTATTCTTATTAACACTGGATTTAAATATTATAAATATCCTATAGTTACTTTTCATTCTTATATATTAAGTTTAAGTATTTGTTGCATATGCATTATGATAAGAATATAAGCAAGTCATTTGAAGACCTTTGTTGTTTCAAAAAGTGTTAGATATAAACATATGATTCATTTTGGAAAGCTTAACTGACTTCATTCACCAGTTTAGCATGTTGAAAAACAACAATAAGAGATTAACCCTCTCACACTGGGTAGGTTAAAGTGCACGTCACAAACTTTTACAGATTTACATTAAAAATTAAATTAAGTTACTTTATTATCAGTGTATACAAATAAACTTGGCATCAAAACATAGGTCATAAATCAAATGTTGATATTATATAAGTTTTAAGTTCTTAATTTTATAAGGAAATATTTAAAATCCTCACTCTTCCCTAGTATGAGAATTAAGACATTTATTCTATAGGTCTTTGCCCTTCTCTAATTTATTTACCACCTATCTCTAAAGTAAAGAATTTAACAACATAAATTCCTCATTATAACATATTTTTATAGCCTTCAATCTTATTTGTTTATGGAGTCATAAACTACAAAATGAGACCCACTTGCCATGCCCACCTGTCACATCTTTTTCACAAATTGTCAATACTTCTCTTTGACATTTGATACTATACCATTTATAACCAATAGAAAGGCAAAGTTTTAATCTCTAATATTGTATAATGCTACATTGGTTTCAGGACAGAGTACTGTCAATTTCATCTTCAGTTTGAAAGTTTATCTTGTAGTATTAAGAGCAAGCAGCTAAGGGAATTGATTTAAAGCCCCTCTTGTCTTAGTTAAAGAGACAGTTAAATTATAACAGTTAGAGGACATTGTTTGCTTTATGTGTATCATTATTCTGTGTTATTAGATGTATTATTTAAGTAAATAAAAATTATTTAATGTAGTGGTATCATTATAGAAAAAAAAGGTTTAAATTTCGTTAGCAAGAGATCAAACATGAGCTATGCATTTGCTGAGTGATTTATAATGTGTGTGGCAAGGTTATTAGTTAGAAAGGGCAATAATACAAAATTAGATATAAACATATATAGAATGTTACAAGCTTTAAGGTATTTAGGATAAACAATTGTAGTATTCTGTTATGGAATGCAGTCATTCTAGAAAGAGAAAAAAGGGTATATTAGATTTATTTTGTATTTTTTTTCATGGTGGTTAAAAGGTCAATCAAATCAAATGAGTCTGTATAGAGTTAGAGTAGAGTAATATAACAAATAAAATGAAAATTTTTGGATGAAGAAATGTATTTTTCATCTTAACATGAAAATCACTTTCAGAGAAGTCAACACTGAATCCATATGTTCATGGACAAATCTTTAGCCAAAAATCTAACTAAAAAAATTATTTTCTGTGTACAAAAGACTTGTAATGTTTACTGAAAGCTTTCCAAATTTTGTTAAGATACACAAAACAAGGTTGGTCACATTGACTGATCTCAAATGGAAAGAGTTAAGATTTCTTGAAGCATGCTGAAACTGTTTTCATGGTATAATGTTGGCACAACTTTTTATTTAACAAACACTTTAGAATTGGAGTTATTATGAACCTTTGATAGAAATAGTTTTTGTTTCTTGGAACAATGTGGAAGAGGAAACAGATGTATTTAATGCTGTTGAACTAATGAACATATTTTTCACCAGGCTTTCAACCACTGGCTGAATGTTCCACTTGAAAAATGTCAAGTAATTGGTGAGGTTGTTCAAATGTTGCACAATGCTAGTCTGTTGTAAGTTACTTATTTCAGTGTTTATTGTGTGTGTAAGGAATCCTACATGTACTTATCTTCTTATTGTGTTTTAAGACTTTAAAGACTATCGAAATAAGTAAAATTTAAATAAATAGCATCTCTAGTATTTTACTTTTATAACAAAAGAACGTACTTATGTTTTTGTCTAACCATCTATATGTAAGTTCTTATCACATATTCTTCTCATCTCACTTCTTATTGCTACTAGCATGTATTTAAAAAAAAAAGTTATGCTTGTGTATGTGTTGCTTGCCATCTTTCTATTGTTTGCAGAATTTCACATCGCATATCTAATAGCATAAGTCTATCATTTTAAAACTCTGTTATCAAAAATATTCATCACAAAAAAATAGATATGCTTTAATATGAAAGAAAATCAAGCTTTGGCCTTGGGTAATTTTACTTAATTGAATCAGTAATGCCTTGAAACTGACTTTTTTGGCTACATTAAAATGTTTACCAGTTAACCCTCTCCATACATGTCACGGGTGAAAGGCCATGTCATCACATTTGTTGACTCACATTCAAAATTTTATTGAACTACTATTTCATGAATTCATGTCAATAAGTTTGGTATCAAACTGTAGATTATAATTCAAATTTTAGTACTATACATTACTCAATTTCTTTATTTAAAAGTAAATATAAAAAACACAGATAAACATCGATTTTTGTGTGTCACATGGTATGTTGAATGCAACACTGTTTCAAATTAGATGTTTGTGATGTCAAAATACTAAGTCTATAGTTTCTTATGAATTAGAAATTCAAATTACCGATATTGACAAGCTAGGATATAAAATAATAATGTCTTATATTTTCTATTTGCTAAGATATTGATCATGTAATAAATCAAACAGTGGCACCCCAACCACCTCTTTTCATTTTTGTAAATGTTCCCTTATATACACTTACTTCTATATATGACATGAATAACCAATCAAAAGCTCAAAATGTCCCCCTAGTGGCTTTCTCAGCCATGTTAATGTGTTTGGATACCATCTCTTTCTTTTGAACCAAGATTTCAAGGAGGTAGTTTATGTCTTTAATCTGCTCAAAATTTCATATTTTTTAGACAGCTTAGTTACTGAGCTTGAAAAATTATAGTGGAATTCTGTGGAATTGATGTATAATTTTTTTGTTATTCAACTGTATATATAAAATTTAAAAGAAATTATTTCGTTTCATATCCTCCACGTGCAAAATTTTAAAAGGCTTAGCAACTGAGTACAAAGATTGTAACTAGAAGAGATAATTGTTTGCTTTACTTCTTTAT